CGCAGAAGGAATATGTATGAACTTATTGTAAAACTGTATGCATATGCATTTAGAAGAGAGATAAAAGAAGACCTGAGGTCTTCAGAAGTACGCATGCTTTTGGGGGGACTTGCGTCCGGCGCGTCCGGCGCGTCGTAATAAAAGCATACCAAGCTTTACAACTTTTACAAAGTTGTGAAGTTTCTTCTTTTCTCTGCAAAACACATGCAGCACTGTGGAGTTGGGGGACATTTTGGTGCTCTTTGATGGTTTATGGCCCCTTCTAATGATGTGACCACAGTAGGGCCCTGCTTTGTTCTGTCAGTTGGGCCCCATCAGAAAGGAGGAATTTGCCCCACCTCCACCAGATCTGCTTCTTCTTGGCCTTCTCCCTCATGCTGGCTAAACCCCAGTTTGTTTAAGACATCAATCTCAGGTTAACAGAGACACAAGAAACCACAGGACTCAACCAGCATGTTTAAACCAACTTTGGTCTAACACACTTCTTCTGGACACTAGCAACCAATTCATCATTCTATTATTCCCGGACTTTTGGAAATGGGAGAAAATGAGTCCAATTTAGATTTGAGTGAATGAATGGTCATCGAATGACAGAATACTTTGGGTTGGAAAGGAACTTAATGACCAGCTACTTCCATGCCTGCCCATAGGCAGGGACACCTTCCACTATCTCAGGTTGCTCTAAGCCTCAGCCAACCTGGCCATGGACACTTGAAGCATTGGGGCAATCCCAGCTTCTGTGGGATGCCTCTGCTGGGGCTTCACCAGCTCCACAGTCACAAATACCTTCCTAATATCCACTCTAAACCTACACTCCTTCCATTTCAAGCTGTTTCAACTTGTCTCAAACTGTGTCAAGGGAAATACAGGCTGGATACTAGGAAAAAGTTTTTCTGAAACTGAAAGAGTGAAGAAGTTCTAGAATGATCTGCCCAGGGTGGTGGTGGAGTCACCATCCCTGGAAGTGTTTAAAAAAAGACTGGATGCGGCACTCAGTGCCATGGTTTAGTTAAGATGTTGGGGCATGAGTTGGACTTGATCATCTTGAGGGTCTCTCCCAACAAAGTCATTCTGTGAATTCTGTCCCAATGATGTGTCTTAGCCCCAGTCAGCAGCCACGTCCCACGCAGCCGCTCCCTCCCTCCCTGACCACCATGATCAGGGAGAGAACCGGAAGGGGAAAAGCTGGAAAACTCCTGGGTGGAGATAGAGACAGTTTAACAGGGAAAGCAAAGGCTGAGCACACAAGCAAAGCACATCAAGGAATTCCTTCACCATTTCCCATGGATAGAAAGGAGTACAGCCAACTCCAGGAGAGAAGGGCCCCATGCCACCTAATAGCTACCTGGGAAGCTACAAAACCCAGCTACAAAACTCATCATTCCAAATGTCCCCTCCTTCCCCTCACTTTATACCGTCAGCATGATGCCTCATGGTCTGGAATATCCTCTGGTCAGTTGGGCTCACCTGTCCTGGCTGTGTCTCCTCCCAACCTCCCAGGTACCCCCAGCCTCCTTGCCAGCCTGGCAGTACAAAAAGCACAAAAGGCCTTGGCCTGTGAAAGCTCTGCCCAGCAATACCAGAAACATCTCTGTGTTATCAACTCTGTGTTCAGCACAACTCCCAAACACAGCCTCACACCTCCCACTGTCAAGAAAACTAACTCTGAACCCAGCACACCTGTCAGCCCCAAGCCCTTGTGAAGAGTCTGTCTCCAGCTCTCCTGTAGACTCCTAAAGTACTGGCAGGTGCTCTGAGGTATCCCCAGAGCCTTCTGCTTCCCAGGCTGCTGGGATGGAGCTGTCACACAGCCATGGCCACCAGGCAAGAGAATATTGGCAGCCTGGCCATGGCAATGATGTTCAGGGAGGCTGCAGAAGGACAGACTGTGAATATCTGAGTGTATCAGAGTCAGGCCAGTCCATCCAATGTCAGCAGAGCTGTTCTGTTGGGAGCAGAAACACGTGTAGGTGCTGGAGCAGCAGCAGCTGCAGCTGGTGGGATTGATGAAAGGATCAAGGAACCCACCTGAGACAGAGTAAAGATCCATTCTGAATTCGGTGAAGTGCCTAAGAAAGGTGAAAAGTCTGTGAGGCCAAAGCTGAAGGGAAAATCTCGCATGCCAGACAGCAAGGAGACAGCAAGGAGACAGAGAAAGAAAAACAGAAAGACCACAAGGTCGATTTGCTCCCGACTTAGAAATTCCTTTGATAAAGAAGAACTGGTGCTAAATGTCACGCAGAATAAATATGTATGAACCTATTGTGAAACTGTATGCATATGCATTTGGAAGGGGGATAAAAGAAGACCCCAGGTCTTCAGAGGCACGCATGCCTTTTTGGGGGACTTGCGTCCTGCGCGCTTCATAATAAAAGCATACCGGGCTTTACAACTTTTACAAAGTTGTGAGGTTTCTTCTTTTCTCCGCAAAACACACCAGACCGTATTAGCTGATCCTGACATGCCATGCTGCAAGTCGGCAAATTTGGGAGAAATTCTGAGGAAACTAAAAAAATGTCAACACCTTTCAGAGTGTCTGTGAAAAAACTCTGTAAATAAAAATAGAAAACTTGTAATTTCTGTGGAATTCACTGTTTACCAAAAAGGGCAACTTCATGACTGGGTATATAGTTAACCTATCTTGATATACCATGCTGCTGGCAGCAAATTTGGGAGAAATTCTGGGGAAACTACAACAAACAACAGCCAGCACATTTCAGGGTGGGTTTGATCAAGCCCCTGAATAAAAACAGATAACTTCTCTATTCTATAGAATTCCTTGTTTATAACAAGGGGCAAGTTAAGACCGCAGGTCATAATTATATATAGCAGGTGCACTCCTGAGGATTCAAACACTCCTTTCTCGTGGGAGAAGACAGAAAGAACAGTTCAGCTGCCTGTTCTGAGACTCTGCACCAAGGTAAGCTCTTTCTCCCTCCTCACCATTGATTCCAATATTCTAAGTCTTTCCTGACTTTCTGAAATAAATATTTATATGGACAAAGCCTAGGCTGGAGCTGCTGAGCTCCAAGGAGCAATCAGAGCTTATGAATGCATTGAATTTTGCAGCATTTTGGTATTTTCTGTCAGTCAGGAGGGTATGGAGGGAGGGAATGATTTGGGAAAGAAAATCAAGCAGGGTCACCTGAAAATTATCATCAAATTGTTTAATAAGAAGGAAGGGGGAGATTATTGACTACTAAATCTTCACCTATGACCTTCCAAAAAACCTCTAGACAAACAGAGGTGTGGTCTGAATACCTGAGAAAATTTATTATAAAGGCTTCTTGGGAAATCCAACTACTATCTCTTCCTGGAGAGCATACAAACCCAGAGAGTGTGAGACTGCAGCAGAGGCATTTGAGACTCCTCTACACTTTGGGGCTGTGAGCAGAATCCTGTGCTGCTCCTTCTCACGGTACATTCTTTTGTATGACTCTGTTAAAGTAGATATTAAGTTAGAGATATTTCAATATCATAGGGTGGGTCATGCAGAAGGACTTCTCAGACCCTTCTCTGCTTGATTTGGGGCAGCTTTGGGCATGCTCTGCTGAGTACTGTAAAAAGTCCCGACTGGTAGTTGCAGTTCTCAGTTTGCAGCTCATTGGTCACCACATTCCTGATGCAGGGCTGAACAAGAGGAAAAGGAGCAGATATCTTGGGTCAGAGCAGGGCTGTGTGCAGCTCAGCATCCTGAATCCAGTGGAAAGGGAGAGATGAGAGGCAGGGAGAAGAACAAGACAAGGGCAAATGTGCAAGGTGACTTGTCAAGCCTTCAGCAGTGCTGAGCTCAGCCCCTGGCCAGCCCAAGGTGGGCTTTGTGCTTTAGAGGCTGTGGCAGCTTTGTGTGCCAGGAACCCTTTGAACAGCCTGTCCCAGCTGCCTGATCCCAAATGCTGATGATATTAAATCTGTCCAATGAGGGTCTGGCAATGCAAATGGAAGCATCCCTGCTCTCCCAAACCTGTGCTGCCTCTGAAAGGAGACAAAGCTCCTCGTGTGGTTGCCATCATCCCAGGGAGCTTTTCAGCAGGTTTCTCATAAAGGAATGATCTTACTCACTGCTGAAAATCACATCAGCACTGAGAAAGACAAAACAGGACTGGTGGCTGTCCAAGAAATTCCTGCAGTGGTGCCTTTGACTGTCCAGGGAAATCAATCAGCAAAGCTGAAGATGGGCATCAGCAGGAATCCCAAGCAACCAGGGCAAGAGCTGCCCCTCAGGGCTTGCCTTGCAGCAGCCATTGTGCTGATAAGATAGAGGTGTTATCCCTCATGCTTGCTGCTGCCATCTGCTTGGCCCCTTCATTTGCTCCCTCCATGTGCCTGCAAGTTCAGAGTCTGGGGTTGGATAACGTGGAAATGCAAGGTGAGCAGCAGGACACGCATGGCCCCATGTCAGCTGAGAGGCAGGAGCCCAGGTGGATGATTTGGGGTTCAGTGTTGGGTCTGACTGGAAGAGCTGAGTGTCTGTGTGAACCTGGATGGGGCCAGAGAGCTGTAGGCAGTGCAGCATTGCTGTTCTCTGCCTGCCCAATGGCCCATGAGATTAAAGCCCAGCTGAGCATGGCAGGGGGCTGAGCAGAGTCCGTGCCCAGCTGCAGGTGTGTGCTGTGGGAAGGTGCTGAGAGCAGGAGGGCGGTGGGCAAAGGTGACCTTGTCCCAGGGCTGTGCCTCAGTTGCAAGATCCCTTTGCTGTGAGAGCTGATTGCAGTCCTGGTGGGTTTGGCTCCTTCCTCCTACAGGCTGAGTGCTCCCACTGCTGCCTCTTCTGGGCAGCTAAACCCTGTTTTTGGTTTCAGCCTTGTCATCCTCGTGATTTTTCTATATGCAGGAGAACATAAATTACTCCTTTCCTGGTCTCTCACAATTCCCTGCTCTGCCAGCTCTGTCCCCCTGTACCCAATGGCTCCAGGCCATGACCTGCTCTCTCCAAGCTGAGTGTCCCTCTGCATTTGCCTTCCAGGGGAGCAAGAGCCCTTCACTGAAATCCTGCCACCATGCTGGGGCTGCTGCTGCTGCTGCAGGTGTTGGCCAGCTGCCTCTGGCTGGGACACAGCAAGGTGGTGAACTCCTTTGATAGCTGTCCTCAGTTTTTCTATGATGGGATCCCCCCAAATGATGCCCTCAATCCACGTAACCCAGCCCGGATCTGTCAGCACTTCAGGAACTCGTATCACTATGCCACCCTGTACGACAGAGACAGGAGAATTCCAGTGTACTCTGCTTACAAATATGAGCCTGGAGATGGCAAGGAACCTCCAGAGTGGTGGATGGTTGAGCCTCAGGTGAGTTCCTCTTACACACATCGCATCACTCTCCGGGCACTTGGAGATGATCTCCAGCATTTAAATTACCACTTGTATTTCCTAACACCCCAATACACACATGCAAATGGACACACAGATGGGAATGTCCTCATTGAACTTCAAACACCTGCACCACATGGTTCCTCTGGTGCACCTGAGACATCAGCAGGAGCATGAGATGAATCACATCCCAAAGGTGCCCAGCTCTCTGCCTTCACCTGACAGGAACAGCCAATCACATTACTTGGCATGACATGACAAAGTCAAATGCTTCCCCTCCCTGTGCCCTGCTCTGCTGGCTGACCAAGTGATGGGGAAAAGGCATCCAGGAGAGGCAAAACTTGAGGGACCAACAGTCCTGCTGGGCTCTGATCCCCACTTTGCCCTGAGCTGTTCTGCATCCCTGGCAGAGCTTCTCTGCTCCCAGTGAGGAGTCAAACAGGCTTTGTGATTGGTGTGAGAGAAGTGAGGAGAAACTCAGAAGGGGTGTGATGGCCCAGGGACAAAGCTTCATGGGAAAAGGCACTGGAGATGAGGGGGTCAGGTTCACTGGGCAGGGATTTCTGGAGGGACATTTCGGGCAGTGCAAAGTGAGGAGCGTCAGTGTTGGTCCAGTTACAAGGGTGTGATCTTCACCCATGGACAGTGACCCCTGAGCACCTTTGGCTCAGGTTTGGTTCAGAAGGATCCAGAAGACAGACAGAACTCCACAAGCTCTAGAGGCCTCCCAAATGTCCTTCAGAGAAACCTCAGCAGAACAGGCCAGGCCAATTGTAGAAGAGAAAAAGAAGCAATTCTTGTCACTGGTAAGGACAGAGCAGCAGGACAGCTATGGGGGAAGGTGAGCCAAAGAAGGAAGCCCCATGCCCTACACCAGAGGAAGGCTAAATATATTTCCCTAAAGATGAACAAAAAGGTGTTGAAATTATTAAAAAAAAAATCTTTTACATCTTAATTTTCAAAGGAACTTGAACAACTACTCTGGCTTTGCATTACTGCAGCCTCCACATTCTCTCTTTTTGGTATATCATACAATGGTTTGTGTTGGAAGGAACACAAGGTTTAATGACCCTCTCAGTCCAACTCCCCTGCATGGGCCAGGCCACTTGCCATTAGACCAGCCTGCTCCAGGCTCTGTCCAACCTGGCATTTTCCTCCTGGAGCTTGGACCCCAGACACCCAGAAAACCTTTGATATTTTTAACTTTCTCCTTAGATATTTCTGGAGTATTTAGTTTCTCTAGGACTCTTTAGGGATTACAGGCCCCTCTCAGAGGCAGATCATTTGAAATTTCTTTTCAGCAATGCTGTAGAAAATGCTCCCTGGCCCAGATCAGCTCTGGGACACATTCTCAGCACTGCTGTAACAGATTCCATTCACATTGAGATCTTTTTGGTTGCTGAGCAAAACTGTTCATCCTTCAATGAACTGCACTGCTATCAGGGAAACCTCAGCTCCAGGACTGATTTCCTGACACTTCTACCTGTGTATGGGGTTACAGGAGGCAACCTCTGGTGTTCCAGGACTGGGATACACTTGTAGTAACCCCACATCAAATCACAGAATCACAGAATGACAGTGTGGTGTGAGGGAATCCAGGGAGAGCCCTGGGCAGATTTGGGCTGTGGAGACAGGAGGAAAGGGAAGCAGATTTGGCAGGGGAGGTGAATCACCAAAGTCACCTTTCAATCCTAGGAGTGGGAAATGCTCCTTGTCTCATGCATTCATCCATGCTCCCAGCACAGGCTGCAGGCTGGATCACAAAGGTCACAAATCAAACTGAGAGCACTCAGATTCTGAGCTGCTAGTTCTTTAAAGCTTTTGTGTTCATGCAGGAGGGGCATGTGTATGATTTCTCTCAGAGTCATACATTTTCCTACACTGAGATGACAAAAAATGGGATCTTGACCATCAGAGCATTTTACTCCATGGAAATCTTCTCCATTACTCCCATTCCCCATTCTAACACCTCTTTCTCTTTCCCTGTCCAGCTCTTAGATAAAAATAGTCTTCCAGACATGGACAGGGATTGGATCCTCATAGAACAAAAAAAGTTCACCTTAGACCAAATCAAAAAGAGCCAAGCTATTCCTGATGACTACAAAGGACTGAAGGATTTGGACCGTGGCCATTTGAGCCCCAGTGGCCATCACTTCAGTAGAGAGAGCAAGATGGCTTCCTTCACCTTCACCAACGTAGTGCCCCAGAACAGCACTCTCAACAATGGCAAGTGGAATGCTTACGTGGAATGCTATAAAACAATGCCAAAAATGACCAAGCGCTGTAAAACCACCTACGTGATCACGGGTGCTGTGCCAGGGAACACCTACGTATCTGAAGAGAGGGTGAACAGACCGAGCCACATCTGGTCAGCTGCCTGCTGTATGTTGGACAAAAAGCCCCCAAAGGCTTGGGGGGCCATTGCTGAAAATGACAAAAACCAGGTGGAAGAGCTAAGCCTGGGGGAGCTGGAGGACAGGTTGACTGAGCTCTATGGTGGAACTGTTACTCTGTTCAACAATGCATGTCCTCGGAAAAAGCCTCGCATAATCATTAGAATAGCCTCGGTGGCTTTTCCCACATATCATAGAATCACAAAATCACAGAGTGGGTTGGTTTGGATGGGACCTTAAAGATCATCTCATTCTCAACTGCCTGCCATGGGCAGGGACACCTTCCACTACACCAGCTTGTTCCAAGCCCTCCCCAGCCTGGCCTTGAACCCTTCCAGACATGGGGCAGTCAAAACACCTATGGGTAACTTTTACTCATACCACAGCCTGCTCACTGTAATTTACTTCTTTATAATATCCCATCTAACCCTGACCTCCATCAGTGTGAAACCATTCCCTCCTGTCCTCTCACTCCATACCCTTGTCCAAAGACCCTCTCCAGCCCTCTTGGAGACCTTTGAGGCACTGCACTCTCAGCAGTCTCCTCCAGGCTGAACATCCTCAGCTCTCTCACCCTCTCTCCAGAGCAGACACACTCCAGCCCTTGGAGCACCTTCATGGCCTGCACTGGACTCCACTCCAACAGCTTTGCATCCTTCTTGTGCTGTGGGCACACAGCTGGAGGCAGCACTGCAGGTGGGGTCTGAGCAGAGCAGAGCAGAGGGGGACAAATGTCCTGGTCAGAGTCTGTGCTGCTTCCTTCTCTGCTGTGTTTCCAGCTCTGTCCCTCAGGGCACCTCCTGCTCTGCTCAAAGGCACAAAGATGTGGGCAGAGCCTCCAGCTGCTTTGCTTTGCTGCCCATGTCAGGAGAGAGCTCTGAGGAACGAGTCCTCTCTTCCTCAGCTGTCCCCAAGAGTGTGCAGCTGACTTGTCCCTCCCCTCCTTAGCCAGGCTGTGGCACCAGGGCGCCTCAGGGTGTCCAGAGATTCTGTCTGGAGATCTCCATGTCTGGAGATCCCCAAAGCCCAACAATACATGATTGTGGACATCCTGCTCTAGCTGATCCTGCTGCAGCCTGGAGTGTGGACTAGAAGATGCTGAGAAGTCCCTCCAAAACACAACAATTCAGTGATTCTGTGATCCTGGCACATGCTTTTGTTGGCTAGCCTTTGAAAGTGCACCTTGGGAGCAGCAGCTGTTGTATCAAACAGGCAGGCTTTGGCATCAGTTCCATAGAGAGCGTGGAGCAGCCAAAGCTGAATTCCTGTGCTGCACTCCCTGGACACCTTCACACTCTGCTCTGCTTCTGAAACTTTTCTGCAGATTGATGGGAAACTGATTGGGGGAAATGTATTCAATGCTTGTCAAAGATCCATGTGTGCCCCATCATGGAGTTTGCAAGAGCTTGCAATAAAAGGGATTTGCTGCAGTGCTGGATTGCAGGATCTCATCTTGTATAAACAACAATTTACTTCCCACTGAAATTTCTACATCTACCAGTAAAGTCACAGTGCCCAGAGCATCCTTGCAGGACATTGAGTGTGCAAATGCAATCAGAGGATGCCACAACACCCACACAAGTGTCAGCATCAGGCACCAGTTATTCTCCTGTGAATGGCATGAACCAAGTGTGCCAGGGTGCCAACAGCTCATGCAAGCTGTGTCACTTTCAGAGGTGCCAGCTTGGCACTGGACATCTCAGCTCAGGAGCTGTTGTTCATTGTCCTGCTGGGTCTCACTGCTCAGCCACGACCAACCTGTTTGGGGGCTGCACTAAAACACAGGTTCTGGAAGAGGTGCAGAGTGAGGCAGCCCCATGCAGGTGTCTCCAGGTGTGCTGGTGTCCCAGCTGTGACCACAGCCAGCAGAACTCCAGGCCTGCCTCAGCTGCATAAAGAGCTGCACCCTGGGCCCCTGCAGCTGCCCTGAGCTTTGGAGAGCCCCACTGGGGCTGGCTGATGTGCTGCAGCATCCTGGGCAGCAGGCACCCCCAGCTGGGCCAGCAGCCAGAGGCCAGGCCCATTCCCCAGGGGCAGCTCTGGGGGCTCTGCACACCTGAGCACAGGCACCAGGTGCCAGGGCAGACACGGGGCACGGCCTGGCAGCACCATGCAGTTCTGCTCCTCTTGCCTCCAGCTGCCATGGCCACAGCAGCAAGAGCCCTGCCTTGTGCCAGCAGGGCTGCACACACCCCTGGGACAAGATGTTGCTTTTAGGAGAGCAAAGTGAGCACATCACTCTCACTGCCTTTGCTGGACAGCTCCTGTCATGCCTCATCTTCTGCCTGGATGGATTTTTTCTGCTGGGATCAAATGCTGACACAGCCCCTGCTGGGAAGAAAGCATCAGAGTGATTTCAGGCTGAGGCCCCTCTGCAGACACCTCTGCTGTACCTCAGGCTGAGGCTCCCTCTGACTTGCTCACCCACCTCTGCACACTGGCTGGGGCTTGGGACCACACTCAGCCTCACCATTCCTCATGCCATGTCTCACTGCCCCCACTTTCCAGGCTCTGGAGCTACTGGCTGCTTGAACAACTGTTGTGGTTTGACACTGGCCAAACACCAGGCACCTACAAAAGCTGCTCACTCAGCCTCTCCTGTTATAGCTGGAAATAGGAGAGAAAAAATTAATAAATATTTTTGAGTTGAGATAAGGACTCAGAGTAAACACTCACATGGGCAAGCTTGTTCAAGTTAGAGATAGAACTTCAAATTTTTACTAATGAAATTAGAGAATAATGAGAAATAAAATAGCCCTTTAAAACACCTTTTCTTTCCTCAACCTTTCCCTCCTTCCCACCAACAGCACAGGCAGACAGAGTGAGCGGGGCTTGGTCAGGCCATCACCCAAGGTTCTCTTCCAATGCTCAGGGAGAGGAGTCCCTCCCCTTCTGCACCGTGGGGTCCCTCACATGGAAGACAATTCTCCTTGAACTTCTGCAGTGTGGCTCTACTCTCACTAGCAGCACTCCAACCAAAACTGCTGCAACAGGAGTCCCTCCCACAGGCACACAGTCCTCCCAAAACTTCTCTGGCATGCCGACCCTGGTGCCCGTTGTTGCCTCAATTTCTGTTCCCTCGTAGGTTCTCACCTCCTTCTATTCTCTGGTTGCAATTCAAGCTGCATGCTCCACTTTGTTTTGATTTTCCTTAATATTGTATTGCAGAGGTATTACTGACATCTTGTTGGCCTAGCTGTGGCCAGCAGCATGTCCATCTCCAGAGCCAGCAGAGATTGGGCCTGCTGGACAATGGTAGAAGCTTCTAGCAGCTTGTAATAGAAGACATGTCTGTTGTCCGCCTGCTACCAAAATCCAGCCTTCGCAAAACCAACGCACCAACCCCATCAGTGTCACCTCTATCAACTTCCCAGGCCCTTCCCAGGACCTGCAGCCCTGGCAGTAATCAGAAATGCCCTGCCATCCTCAGCAAGCTTGTGAAATACATGGGAAGCCCAACAGAGAAAAGGATCAGCTTGGACTCTGCCTTATTTCATATGAGGACTGTTGCTTTCCATCAGTTCTAACCAGTGCTGGGCCACTGGGGAGGTGCCAGATGCCTGGAGTTTGACCATTGTGACACCCATCCACAAGAAGGGCTGGAAGGAGAATCTGGGGAACTAGAGGTGTGTCCACCTGACCTTGCATCCCAGAAGGGTTTTGGAGCAGATTGTCCTGAGTGTGATCACAGAGCACATCCAGGAGAAACAAGGCATCAGTCCCAGCCAGCAGGGCTTTAGGAAAGACAGGTCCTGCCTAGGGAACTGTTGGAAGCATGGATGCTGAGAATTTTAAACCATCTGTGTTGAAAGGTACAGACGCAGCATGGAACACTGCATTTGATTGGAGGCTGTGGACAAGGCTTCCAAAATTGATAACCCTGGAATTACAGGTGTATAGTTTGAAAAGAAGTAGGTATCAGCAAAGGGTGAAAAACACGGGGTTTAACATTTTTGAATATAGCAATATATATAAAGCAAGAGGGAGGTTTTTGGACACTGGCTGGTTGTTTTTCTTCACCACCTTCTTTACATGGGTTTGGGTTGTTTTATGTAATTTGTTAGAAAAGTCTGCATTGTGTACTTTGAGTGATTCATTTCTGTGTTAAAAGTAAAAACAGTTTAGATGTCATTTCTTAATTAGATAGTTTAGCCTTAAAAGACTTGGTTGAGAAAGATATTGGGCCATTTTGTAGCTTGTTAGTTGAATGCCCCAGAACTCACACTTTGTAAGACTGTAACATAGATAAGAATTAATGAAAATTTAAAATCAAACACGAGAAACACTCCCTCCTGCTCCTTTCATCCCAATCCTAACAATTAAGAAAATAAAATAAGAACACAATAGCAAACCTGATCTCCGTTGACAACCAGATGACCAGCCCAGTGGATGAGGGGGGAGGCTGTGGAAGTGTCTACCTGGACTTCACCAAAGCCTCTGGCACAGTCTCCCACGGCATTCTCCTGGAAAAGCTGTCAGCCCAGGCCTTGGAGAGGTGCTCTCCTGGCTGCCTCAGGAGCTGCCTGCATGTCCAGGCCCAGAGAGCCTTGGTGAGCAGTGCCACATGCAGCTGGCGTCCGGCCACAAGCGCTGTCCCCAGGGACCAGGGTGGGGCCCGGTACCATTGAAGATCTTTCCTGATGATCTGGATGAGGGGATGCAGGGAACACTCAGCAAGATCAAAAATGGTGCCAACTCTGGAGGGAGACTCAGCTGCTGGAGGGCAGGAAGGCTCTGCAGAGGGATCTGCACAGGCTGGATCCACGGGCCGAGGCCACCTCTGCAGGCCGTGCAGAGCAAGGCCATGGAGCTGCTGAAGGCCCTGCAGGGAAAGGCCTGAGAGGAGCAGCTGAGGCAGCTGGGGTTCTTTAGCCCAGACATGGGGGCTCTGAGAGATCATTTCTCTCTCCAGCTCCCTGAAAAGGGGTGTAGCCAGCTGGGGATCAGCATCTTCTGCTGGACTACCAGCGAGACGATGAGAGGGCAAGGCCTTGACCTGCACCAGGGGAGATTCTGGTGGCACATCAGGAGGAATTTCTTCACATAAAGGGTGATTCAACATTGGAATGGACTGGCTGAAGGTGTGGTGAAATCCCAGTTCCTGGAGCCTGGATGTGGCACTCAGTGCCATGGTCCACTTGAAGAGGTGGTGATTGTTCCAAGGTTGGACTCCACGATGCCAGAGGCCTTTTCCAACAGAAATAATTCTGTGC